CCCCCCCCCCCCCCCCCCCGCACCTCCTTCAAGGTCATCTCTGTGGTCCTCTACATTCTTGGATTCTGCCAATAGTCTGAACAGGAAGTATTCTGATCCCAAAAGTTGGTATTTATACATCTGAATCAAAGTTACATTCCTGCACTGAGCTGTTTTAAACAACTAATGTTTGCATACGATTCTTCTAAGTTCATCTAAAAGCTATCGATATTCTTTTATGAACGTTTTTCAATGCCTCAACGGACATTGTAGTGTCCGTGAATGTAAGATGCTAGCAAGTATTGAATACATTCCTGGAACTGACAGCCCCAAACTTGTAAGAACTGCACTATTTCATTTCCTCAAACCTCAGCAGGTTTTTCCAAAGACTGTTCCTCCATCTTTGCAACGTGAGCTGGAAACCTCTGAAAAAAGAGATCAAGGTAAGAAAAATGTGGAAGAAATAAATATGTACAGTAAAATTAACGTATGAGGTTTTTAATATGTTTAGCCTATTGACTGAGAAGGAGGAGGAGGAGGAGAAGAAGGAGAAGGAGACCCCTATGTCTCATCTCACAAAAGACTTAAAGGTTTTCCCTTGCTGATTTAAAATGTTTTCCACCCATTCTTGAGTCTGCAGAAAATCACCCCAGCTTGAATTCTGTTCCCATTGCTGTATTCCCCAGTATGTATATCATAAAATCATAAAACAACAATCAACTCAATCAAGACAGTTGTAGTAATTCCAATGTGTGACATATAATAATAATAATAATAATAATAATAATAATAATAATAATAATAATACAGGCTTACCATAAACTTAAACAGTGCTCAGTTCAGGAGGCCAGATGCAGGATTGAAACAGTAGACACCCAAAGGTTTAGCCTGCAGGGTAAGGAAGCTCCTGAAAAGGAGATTGGGGTGGGGGGTGAATCAGCAGCATCTAAAATGGCCCAAATAATTAGTAGTGAGTTCAAGTCCTGAGGAAAGGAAGAGTCTTTATTATCCAGCCCCAAATCTGGCAGCCCTTCTGTTTCCCATCATATAGCAATTAACAAGGACAGTGGAAACAGAGATGGTACCAACCCTCAATTTCTGTCCTTTAAATTGGCCAGA